TGAGGCAAATTTCGTCACTAGCACGTGACCCTGCGGCGTCAAACGAGCGTTGTCCTTCCGGTGGGTATCGCGCTTTTGGTTTTGGTATCACCAGATTTCCAGAACAAAATTTGACGATAACTCAAGCTACGTGCTCGATCCAGGATTTTTTAAAATTTGGCAGGCCTTCAACATTGATTTTCTCCATTTCTTTAAAATGAACATGGGCCCTAATCAATGCAGAGGTGCAGGCGAGCTGAAGAGGATAGACAAAAATAATTTGATAAAACCCGTTTGCTCTACTGACGTCTAACTCTTGGTCAGCTCAGTTGGTATAGAGAGCTCCAATGGAAATGGAGATGTCTCTGGTTGGATTCTAGCACCAGGCGGATTTTTTCAGCGCGTACCAGTCACCTAGCTGTGTTTGAAGGTTAGTGTTTGTCTTTTGTCCCCCATGTTCCCTTTCTCCCGGGGATTATTATCGTTTATGTGCCCTAAGACTTCGTTTTCCTCAATTAGTCATCTATTAGTTGCATTCCCTTTTGAACATGATGTCCCCCTGGCCGTAAAACTCCCTTGCGCACACCGCATTTGTATAGCTTTCACGAATTAATAAAAAAAAATGTGTATTCGATAAGAAAAAGCATATATATACGCGTAAAAATACCCGCAGGCATACAACACAATGTATATAGCCCGAGCTCAAGTTCACTGAGAGGCGTGGTGTCCCTGAACAGACACAATGCATACGACAACCTGAAACACGAAGCAATCCTGCCCAAGCACGCCAACACGGGATGCAGACAATGGAAGTACGAATACGTGCACGACTTCCTCACAAACCGGATGGCATCCAAAGCATGTTCAACGAAACAAATTCTACCTTTTCAACAGAGTAACACCTCAAAGCTCAATTATATACACCACACTATTCAACCTCCAAAGCATGTTCAACGAAACAAATTCTACCTTTTCAACAGAGTAACACCTCAAAGCTCAATTATATACACCACAGTATTCAACCTCGTGATGGCAGATTTACCAACACAGCTGAACGGCATCCCCGATCTACACCACTCCATTTATGCAGATGACATTACGTTATGCACCACACCAGGAAGCCCCGGAAAACTCGAGAACACTTCAACCGGGCTGCGATGCCATCGAAGTGTACACCCCTGCGATAGAGCTTACCTTATCGCCCACTAAATCTAAACTACCGAACCCATCGTCGGAGAAAGAACCGGACCCCGGCCAATAACCTTCTTTTTAAAGTGTCGTGCCCCTTCAACAAAAAAAAAAAAAAAAAAAAAAAAAAACCGCATTTTTACGTGGTGAATGATGTTGATTGGGGCGAAGCTCGGGTGGTGCTGATGATACTGATTTTGGTCATAGGTAGTGCTGATGGTGCCGTTTTCATTCATGTCAGTAAAAGAATGTGGTTTTCTTCTTTTTCTTTTTTTAAGAAGACAGATGGGATGGCATCTCAGAGCCCCCTATTTTTTTTCTTCTTTTTATTTATTTTTTCATCTTTTTTTTTATTTTTTTTTTGCTCTCGCTGTTGAACTTACGAGCAGGAACTCGTGAGCTCCTGCTCGTGAGCTCACAAGCAGGGGCACGCCGGACGGTGGACGGACATACGGACATGGCTAACCCCTAAGGAGCTTCGCCCCTAAAAAGTGTCGACTAACTCATCATTGGTGTGCTAATCTCGGCAGAACGCTGTTGTCAGTTTTCGAGTCGCTGTGGCTGAGTTTGATACTGCTTTTGGCTGGTGATATTGAATCTAATCCCGGACCTATGTCAAAACAGCAGGAAGAGCAGCTCGCGTAAGTTCTTGCTATTCTAAAAAAAATAGAAACTGGTCAATCAACAATGCTGAGAAGTATTAAGAAACTAGAAGCGAATCAGAAACAGACTGAAGCAACGATCAAATCTTTGAAAGAGCGAGTATCACTGTTAAAGGGAAGCTGAAACACTTCTTGAAAAAAACGAGTTAGAGGTGAATTCTGGCGTATTTTTATCCCGTGAATCTGAATATCACTTTTGTTTTCCCTGAAGATGCAACTAAAAGCGAGAAAAAGCGAAAAAACATTCGACCAGTCGTGACGTCATACTAGGATCTTCGGGCCGCCAAGCGCGTGTCGCTCGTGTGGGCAGCGCGTGCAACGGCAAGCTTGCCAGGTATATTTCCCGCACTGACACCAGTCGTGACGTCTCTTTCTGACCTTTCTGAAAATAGCAAGAGTGCGCGTGCATAGCTTTGATAGGCGCTGAAGATGCGCGAGAGCAGAGATTCCGAAAGCTCCTAGTGTGACGTCACGCCCCGGGAAGGAGGGGCTTCGGCGGTACTTTAAAAATTAATTTCTGAAGCCTCCGTGCACCAAATTGAAAAATAATCTTGATATTCCTGATCCTGGAAGTAGAATGAAGGCCATTGAAATGTTTTTTTCTGAAATAGAGAACCGCTTCAGTTTTCCTTTAAAGAATAACCAAGCGCCTACCACAAGTTTGAACTCTGTCCAGCTTGAGAACGAGGTGCACCGGGACATTCTTGTGTCTCATCTTCAATCGAGGGTTGATGAATTGGAAAATCGGTCACGTCGGAATAATCTGATCTTTTTTGGAATAAAAGAAACAAGTGAACGTGAAAGCTGACCGGATTCCGAGAAGCTGATTATGGAACTGTGGGAATCGAAGCCTGGTGTAAAAGTGGAAAGCATCTCCAGAGCACATCGACTAGGTTGTTTATCAAGTGATAAGCACAGGCCAATAATAGCCAAATTCTTGAATGAAAAAGAAATGGGAAGTGTTCTTTCAAACGGATTTAAACTAAAAGGCACTGAATTCAGTGTTAGCAACAACTACTCAGAAGCAGTTAGAGTCAAGGGTAGAAATCTGCTTAAATTTTCTAAAACTGTTGTGAAGGCTGGGGACAAAGTACGCTTGCGTTTTGACAAACTTTTTGTGAATGACGCAGCATATGTCTGGGACACTGCCCTTGAATCTGCAGTCCCACTAGTAAACGCGACCGATGTAGATGAATGACATGTCAACTATTCGTTATCGCAAACTGTTTTTCCCAGTTCCCCTGCATGTGTCAATATACCGTGTCGGGTTTACTTCGCATTCTACTGAAATATATCGGAATGTCTTGTATACCAACATTCGGAGTGTGTTATAAAAGCGAGACGACATCTCATCTTTGATTGAATCTTGCTCGGCTGATGTCATTGCTCTCACGGAAACCTGGTTGAATGATGAAGTGGATGACACGATTATTTTTGACGGCGTGTCATCGTTTACCATATTTCATCAGGAAAGACACCTACGCAGGGGTGGCGGGGTTATGCTTGCTGTCAGGAAAAGTATAGTTTGTACACGTATTTGCGTTGACACGTGTTTAGAAAGTGCCCATGGTTTTCCTTAAAAACAAACCCCAAACTCTGTTGTGTTTGAGGTCTGTTACAGACCTCCTGATTCTAAATTGGGCTTTGTTTCAGCTTCCCATGATATACATTGTGATTTGTCATTACGGTACCCTGGCTGCTGCTTTACAATTTTCGGTGATTTTAATTATCCTTCTATAGATTGGTCTCAAAGTCAACCTTCTTGCCAGGGTAACATTGCTGATTGCGAAAGTTTCATCGAGGCTTGCCTTGACTTCAACCTCTCGCAGCTCGTAACAATACCTACACACTCCACTCCCTCGACCTCAAATATTCTTGACCTCATCTTGACTACACAACTCGACTTGTTTCATCCAATTACTACCCTTCAAGGGTTATCTAATCTCAACGTCCTGTTTGCGTAAATCATTCTGCCAGTAACAAGAAAGGAAACCATTCGTAAACCCATTAGAAGTTATGGCCGAGCTACAGCGGCTTTGCGGCGGTTGCGGACCCATTCGCGCTGCTGCGTACGTCGCCGCTCATTCCGCAGCCTGTCTCCTTTCCCCGAAAGGGCGCGCGGCCGACCCATCGTGAGTCCAAACCGAAACTGATAAGAATGTAGGAGCGTAGGAAACAGAGCGCAAAACAGACGAGGACGAAGAAACACACGTGACGAGCGCTGCGCTCGTTACGTGTGCTTCTTCTTTGTCGTAATCTGTTTTTTCGCGCTGTTTCCTACGATGACTTCCCACCAACGCGCCGCCCAACCATCCATTTTTCTATGATACCTGGAAAGGTTGGCGCCATCTACCAGTGACGGCGGCAACCATACTGGTTGTGTGCTTGCCGCCGTCGCTTATAGATGGCGGTAGCTGTCCAGAGGCGTTTTTGTCGACAAGTGTTTTGTACCGGACACGATCCTCGGGAATCTAGCCCTTAACAGCTGTTGTAAAAAATACAGAAGGATACATGTGTGGATTCTTAGGGGATGCGTTAACATGACTCCTGGAAAATGCCACACAGGTCCCCCTTTGAGAAACGCTAGCGCTGACCCAGTAACAAGGTAAAAAAGAGGCAGCAAAAAATAGTGGAACCCTAAGGGGAAGCCAAAAAGAAAGCTAAAACAGAAAAGCCAAGGGGTGATCGTTAGCGATTCCCCCAAAAGACGTGTGTGGCGTTTTCTAAGGGTCGTGCATTGCCTAAGAACCCACCAATGGATCTTCCAGTATTTCAAGATCGTTCAGCGGTTATAGATCGACCGACCTACATATTTCGTTGTTACGCGGCTCCTGAGGTTGGTTGACCCTATAATGCTGTCGCTTTAACACAAGCTCCTCTCTCACAGATGAGCTCATATTCCACAGGTGAGCATTGGAAGGCGGGCCCGTCACATGCTAGCACCAGCCGCTTATTGAAAAGTTATCTGGTGGCGTCGCTTGCAACGAAGGCGAGGAGAGGACTTTATCTAACAGCTGCGACGCCCGAGGCGTTCACAGCTGTATATCTTACACCGCAGCCCGGATTTTGAATCGCCCAAACACCAGACCCTGATATTACTGCTCCCTCTGGGCCAGGAGCAGACGGACTTGCTCGCTGCACTATAATGCGCGCATTTTGCTTGCAACTCACCATGGCAGGGAAGAACCAGAAGAAGATGTTGCTGCCCAAGTCTGGGTTCACGGTAAGAAATCCCGAGTAACTGGGCACGTCCCGGATCAAGCCCAGGAACCCCACGCGGCTCATGGTTCTCGCCTTGTTCAGCTGGTTATCGTTGATCAGAGGAGTCAGGTACAGGGGCTGGCCCGGGCCCAACAAGTCGGAGATCGAGGTGCCCTGGCTGCGCAGAAAGCGTTTTTGCCAGAGCGTAGAAATCAGCGCCGCCGTATCGGAAAGTGGTCGTCATACCAGTACGACGCCTGGACCGCGCCTCCGATTGGCGTGCTTAGCGTCCTGATCCGCCCACGCATCGAAAGTGGTCCCGAACAGTCAACAAAAGACATCACTGAAGTCGGGGTGCTACGCTGTCGGATGTCACGATCCGTGCGGTTGGTCGTAGAAATGCCGGCGAGAGAGCACAAGCGAACGCAGTGTCGCTGTCGTCGCGGCGTCCCGATTCCTGGCTGCCGAAGCTTCCCTGGGCTGTCAAGCTGAAGAGCGACCTGTAGCAGAACAGCTACAGAACAGAACAGAACAGCCTGGCGGTGTCACAGCGCTGCTGTGACACCGCCAGGATCGCGGTCGGTCACGGCACGTCACTTGGGCGACGTCGACAGGCGGAAATAGAGGCAGCCTGTTTTTGGACGCGGTAGAAACACCAGTCGGATACGCGTTCCAGGCTCCGTAATACCAGAGTTTCGTCGAAATTTCATCAGATTTCACCGGGCGTCAAAAGTAGCATAATGCTAAACATGTTTCCATCATTCTGATAAACCTATGGAGCACAAAATCCGCCGTGCGTGCATAACGCGCCGCAGTCACGCTGCACATACATCATACAACAAAAAACGTTCGGCAGAGACACTTAAGATTGCTTACGTGCAAGAATGCAAAAGAATTCCTACACGTAGCGCATTCCTACAAGAAGCGCTACGTCTTCCTTTCGCACACGGTGCTCCGGCGGTGACACCAGGCGCCCCCACTCCGCAGGCGCGACGAACCCCGCCGGCTTCACGACGGCTTCCGTGACGAAGCATTGCGTTGCTGCACTTTTCTTTGTGTTTGGTTTGTGTGGCGCGACCGCTTTGACCTTGAGCGCACCCGCCGGCTCCCGTGACGAGGCATCTGCGCTGCTGTGCTTTTCTTTTTGTTTTATTGGGAATCAGAATTTAGGTGGCGTTTTTCGCTGCTACAGACAACGCCTGCTTGACTCCGTGGGACAGTTAATGTTTTCGAATTAAACCGCGGTTAACCATGTTGAATAAACCTGAGTCTCAGGTTTATTCACCATGGTTACCATTCACCAGCTCACCTGCACCCTCGCTATTGTATCTCTAAAACCGCGGTGTTTGCTGCAGACAAGGTCGAGGATTGTTCGATGAATGTTTCTTGCATGTATGCATCGAACATGTGTGCAGACAGTCTTTGTGTGCCCCGTGTGACGTCATACAATCCAAGCCCCAGACAGTGCTGGCAGACCGTCAATTGTTCGACCGAATAGCAGTGTGACCGAGGCTTTAGGTTTTGATACGCTTGGTTACGGGGAGATTCGGCTGGTTTTGGATGCACACTCGACGCCTCATGCGCTCACCGGCTTGATCAGAGTGATCGAGACAGGTACGAGTTCGTTCAGGAGTGAAGTGTGTTAGGGGTATAGTTGAGTGACAAGTTTCTTCGAGTTTTGAAAATACTTTACCATGTAATACGTGTTACTCCTCGAAAATCCAATAGCCTTACTGCCCACAGCTTTTGCGTAGTTGGAACAATTGGATCGCGCGCAGTCTCGGGGGCACTCACCCCTCCCTTTGAATTGGGAGGGGTGAGTGCCGCCATGTATCGTGTGAGCCCGTCGAGACAACGGAGAACACCATCTCTGCTGTCTGGGCAAATCCGGTATCTCACTGCGTCGACGGCAGTCTTCTCCCTCGACGGCAGCGCTCTCCCTCGGCGCAGTGCGAAAGTGGGACAGCGTGCACGGCCCGATGCGCAGGCGTTCTCTCGGACGGGAGGTTTGCAAATTGCTCGGGGAGGCTCTGAAGGCGCGCTGTTTAATGGAAATGTGCAAAGTAGAATGTATTCTGTTCGTAAACTATTTGAGTCTTCCTTTCAAATTTGCGTCTAGCACCTTGGGTCGACGTACAGTCGGGAGCAAAAGTTTGCGGGGCACGGGAGCGCGTGCCGAAATGCATTGCCGCGCCGACCGACGGCGCACCGCCGCATTAAGGAGCCGCGCTTTGCGCGTGCCCGCTATGATGTCTCTTTTGCTCGTTTCTTTCCGACGCACTCCTGATAACAGGAGCCGGCGCCAGGGGCGCGAGTTAGCGCTTCGCTGGCTGTCAAGCTGCGCGTCCGCTTCAGCTGCCTCAGCCGCCGCGCTTTGTGACGGAGCTCGCAGGGTGGGGTTACCAGGCGCTTTGTCATCCAGCGCGGCTGCTGAGGCAGCTGAAGCAGACACGAGGCATGACAGCCAGCGAAACGGTAACTTGCGCCCCTGGCGCGGACTCCGGTTATCAGGAGTGAGTCGGACAGAAACGAGCGAAAGAGACATGACTGCCAGCACGAAGGGCGCGCATGCGCCAAGCGCAGCTTTTTAATGCGGCGGTGCGCCGTTGCACGGCGCGGCGATGCATTTCGGCACGCGCTCCCGTGCCCCGCAAACTTTTGCTCCCGACTGTACAACTCTTAGATTGCGAGAAGCCCCATGTGGTAACTGATGTAATCGCGAGGTCCGGACGTTCATTGAACCCGCTAATTTATCTATCGAATGCTGCGCTAAGACGTGACGTCATATTCGCTCTTCGCTGTCCTTTGGTTCGTCATGAATCACGAGCTGCTCCATGACGATGGAGGATCACGTGGAGACGCGCAGCTGGCTCCCGTGACTCGGGAGCCAGCTGCGCACGTCGACGGTCGCCTCTTCACGCCGGTTCAGGTGAGTCACGCTTGGTCCTCCCAAGTGTCGTGCCCGTTACAGAAAGTAAGAAAATAGCCTTACTCGTTACTTCGTCGCAAATTAACGCGTTCAAAAATGTTCGAGGCTAAAAAAAAAAAAAAAAAAATGGCGAAAAGGAAACAAGTTTGAGTGTTTTGCGTCTTTCTGTGTATCATTTCTTAGATGGCAATATGTAATCGGCGAACGTGAACAGAGCGCTCTGATCTCGTTCCCATAAACTTCTAATCGACTCAAAGTAAAAAAAAAAGAGAGAAAAGGCGATGAAGCTGATAAAATAGGCAGAAAAAGATTGTGACGAATTCGTTACGGAGCGATGGGATTGTTTGCTTTACAAGTTTTACCACAAAGAAGGCATCCTTCGGGAATACGAGTCGAAACGTGTTTCCTCCGGAGGGTGAGAGGACAGGAATGGACCCGAAGAAAGTGCGCTTACATACTCGGCTTGTGAACCGCGATCCCGAATGTCTTTTTGCCCGAAGGACCCTTTGCGTGGACTTGGCTGAAGAGAAGTGCCCCGTCCAGCTTGTTGCGGGGACGGATTGTCACGTTCTAGAATAGGGGTCTCAAACATGCGGCCCATGGGTCACATGCGGCCCGCGGGCAACACTCTGCGAGCCCCCATTCCCATGCCTTGAGCGCTAAAAATGGCATGCACTAATGTTCTCAATTTCTTACGTTCATAACGGAATTCAAAGCAAAGGTGCGAGTGCGCTGGACAAGAATGACGAAAATAATCCCCGGAGAAGGGGAACAAGTGGCAGGCTAAAACGAGACGCGTAAAAATTTTTGATCGCAGAGCGTTTGACGAATTATTTGCACTGGGACAATTTCTTGAGGTTTTCTAGTCAGCAGGAGGTGTATTTCAAGTTCATTCAGCTCTGGAGAACTTTTCCTGACTGCAGCATAAAAGTGGTTACAGTTAAAAAGCGTCGACTTGAACTCGCTCGACTAAATACAAACAACTTTAATGGACGCGCAGTCGACACTCACCGAAGAATGAAAAATTGCGGATTAAATTTCAAAGTGAACATAATAAAGTAAGCGCAATAATCAAATTGGCTAAGCGTAACCATGTTAAAGCAAAGTTAGTTGAATCACGCTTTGACACACGGGTAATTTGATCCAACCAACTCCGTGATGGTCCCAGTGCTAAACGCTCGGTTGTCGAAACCGTGGAAAAGTATTTCCCGTGTAGTCCACTCTCTGCAGCCAATGCTTTCAGCACCTATTTTGGAAAGTCCTCGAGCATATTGCGCGATAATCAAGTTGACATTTCGCCCCCAATCATTGCAAATGTAGCGTCCGCTTTCCTTCGTGAAATAACGGAGCAACTACGCTGCTTATTTTTAAGCCTCGTATATATCCCGAAATCGATGGTGTGGAAATGTCTGATCTCTGTAGCAGTTACAACTCAGCAAAGAATATACTTCTATGGATGTTGGACGGTTTTATAGCTTCATGCATAATTCCAGGTGGCCCTAAAACCAGGGTGTCGAACCGGAACCGAACCGAAAACCGGAACCGAACCGTTATTTTTAGCCGAACTGGAACCGAACCGAAATCTTCGCCGCCATCTTGGAACTGAACCGGAACCAAACCGAAAAAAATATATAACGGTAACCGGTTTAAAACGGTTCGAGGTATTTTTTCTTTTTTTAGTTATCACAAAATGAAGCTATGGGAATAAAAAATTGGCAGCTGTATTTCTATCTATTGATCGAATCGTCATATACAAAATTGCAAAGAATGATAAATTGTGGATTTTCGTGGCGCTTTTGTATTGTAACTATGATTACCTATGTGTCACGTTGCCACGTGACGTCATGGTGTGAATACATGCTGTCAAGTAATGTCACGTTGCGACGTGACGTCACGTGACTCACTGCGTCAACTCGATTTAATATGACAGCGTGACGAAACATGCCATCACGACTTCGCACCGATAGTCACGGGACAGCGTGACGTAAGCGATTTTCATAACCCCGAGTCGAGTGTTCATGACAATCAGCATCACCAAACATTTGGGTAACCGCTCGTGTTCAAGTAAAGGTGATAATAGCCCAACTCTAAAAATATATTAAGCTCAGCCCATGCTTTTGCTTTCCAAACCCTAGCGCTTGACTATGGTGAACACTGACGGTATATATAT